TGGTTTATCTTCCACTGGGTGTCTTTAAGCCTAAAATGGTATACACTTTATGATTCTTTTTGACCTTTTCCACTGCCCTAAGAGGAATCTTTGTGCTATCCAACAGCATATGGGACTGGCTGCAAAAATCAGTTTTGAGAGGCTTTTAATTCCAGTCAGCTTATGTTTTTCCAGATAAAGTGTGACAGATGCAGGTCTACTCATGCTGACAGCAAAGTTTCCCGAGAGCTACCCGTTGTGTAAAGTAACGCTAGTCTTGACTAGCTATTCCAGGAGATATACTCCAAAGATTAAATAGATTTCACTACCTTCCATGCATGGTGCCATTAGTTCCTACATATTTGCCTCCTCATACTTGGCAGCAGCGCGTGGATATAATAAGGGTTTGCTAGACACACTACCAATAGTGAATTTCATGAAAAAAGGTGCTGAAAAAGTTGATCTTTGGGAATAAACCGTACAACAGAGAGCCACTGCACACTCACATTTGTAGGCGTTAACTGTTCAAGCAGTTCCTAATCCATCCCTGAACAATTTACAAAGGATAAAAAAAAAAAAAGACAAAAATTCCTTCTGTTTCCATTGTCTGTACAGAATGGTGGTGTCCTCTCAAACTTTCATAAGTTTCTCTCCTGTAACTCTCACAGAATGTACTTTTCTTGCTACTATATATTTTAATAGACGTATAATAGAGGTATAATTATTTATATTTATTTTAAAACATTAAACTGCTAACAAACAAAAGGTGCTTGTTTTGGCTAGAAAAAAGTATTCCTTATTGAAACTTTTTGCATCCTATGAGGACGCTTTTATTTCAAAAAAAAGAATTTGGTTAGTTTGTATTGACTTTTGCAGTGATCAGCATACGACTGTCTGTTTTGTTTTGTTTTTTTAAACATATGATCCATACGTTTAAACATACACCCTCCATATTGAATAAAACTACTACTAAGCTGCATGGCATGGATATCATTAGAACAAATAGATTAATATAACACAGAAATAGAAGTCTACATACTTTTTAAAAAGTTACAGTTTCAGAACTAAAAAAAATGATAATCTATCATCTTAAAAGAAACTTGTCTGCTTCCCCCTCCCCATTGTTTTAATAAACTATGATGGAGACAGTCACTTTCCAGTATAATTTGTGCATTTGTCAGTACTGTGTACACTCAGCATAACTTCCTCTTTTCCTGTCAAATCAATGTCTCCCACCTTTCATACAGCAAGAGGATACAATATAAATTGCTGAACATACACAAAGATGTGACTGAAAACATACATGAGAAGACAAAACAAGCGCAAGTACACAAAATATTGCAAATTATTAATTTGGGTGTTCTTCTTTAATAATGGAAATTATTAGGTTAATGTCTTCCAGTTAAAGCAATTATACTATGGATTCCTTGATCTTATTGACTAGAATTCACATACAAAATGGATCTCTGAATAAAGATTATTAAAAAGAATACTCCCTGTTATTTTTAGAAATACAAGAAGGAAGAATCATCAGCTACTGAGTGAAATAATTTTCGCTGAACCTACCGAATTCTACGTTTTCACATTTCCAGTTGAAATAACAACTTCTTTTATATAGTTATTCACTATGTATTAATTCAAACATGCACACTTACCTTTATGGTAACGTTTCCCTTTGTTATTTTTCTCATATTGAAGCCTACTGTAGGAATCATATCTTCAGTGAATTGCCCTGACTAGAATAAAAACAAAAAAGTATTATAAAATAATTGATAGAGACTGGACAAGCTTCTCATTTGCAACCTAAATATTTTATTTTACGACATAGTAAAAAAAAAAAAAAATCACATTAATTTTCTACAAGAGCATTGGCCAGAACTTCAATTAATGTATTGTCATACCAAGGAAGACAGTTCATTTCAGTTCCTTTAAGTGATCTTTTATTCTCCTCAGTGACAAAGATCACCCGAGATATCACAAGACTTTGGATAATTTTTCATCCGATGCTTGAGCTAACCAGAAAGCAGCTTTGTCAAAATACAATAAAACTGACAGACAATACCAAGGCTTTTCCCTATAGTTTCTCATCACTGTTACCAGTGGTAACTGCAAATGTAACTAATGGTGAAAGAATACTCAGTCTATGAAGCACTGCGTGCAGTCCATTTCTTTCTGAGTAGATGAGCAGAAAACTTCCACTGCTAAAGGTAAGAGTAAGATAGACAGTGTAATAAGATGCAAGCACTGGATGGAAAGTAAGATGGATAGTAGGTAAATACTGGAAAGCATTTCTCCAGTAAGATGGAAAAATATAAGGAACTCAACACACCCTAAACGCAAAGGAAGAGCCAGATGTCCCCCCACTGCTAAAAGAAACGGGAACCTTACAAAAAACTACCCACTACAAAAGACAGCCTTTAAGGAAAAAGATGAAGCGCAGCACTAAATACATTACTCGTTACTCATTCTTTCCTTCTTCCTTTTCAAAACATCACTAGTAAGGTATTGTGTCTCACTACCAGTGTGTGTGGAGCAGCACATCAAGATATGTAGAAAGTCACTTAGCAGCTAGGTCTACACTGAGGGCCAGGAACTCTCTGCAAGGTACACAGTAGTCCTGGTTTTCCCGTCATCCAGAAAGGAGGAGAGCAGGACTTTCTGGACACGCCTTTGCCCTACCATACCTATCTGCCTACATTCTCTTCACTCACCCTTACTATCAACCCCAATGTGTCCCAGGGTTTTCTGGAATAAAACCTGGTTATGTGGTCTAGGAGGAAAGCAAGCACACTCCCAGAGGACCCTCCCACCTGCCAAGTGGGAGCTTCAAGGTCTACCACAGCAGCTGTGCGCCTCACGCTGCAGACAGCCATCAGCTATCCCTACTGCTCTTGCAGGTCACAGTATACTTGCTGCAAATCTCCTCTTCATTGTTTGTAGCTGAATGAGAACACTTTACACCTCTAGTTTGCCTTTGCCGACTAAGACTGACTATTTTTAATCTAGGACTTAAAAAGCTAACTGTTGATGATGATTTGCTCCTCTCACATAACTTTAGGTTTTGGAACTAGATCCTTCAGGCAAGAAACAACTTCCATCCATTACTTGTTCGATCTACCTATGGGAATCTTATTGCTAAATTCTGTACTATACATCTTCCCCATCTTTCGTTTCTGAAAGCCTCTTTTTTCTCTTTCCTTGCTTCAGTGACTTGTCAACAGCAGCAGGGGAAAAACAGTGAAGATAAATGTACTTGTAGTCTCATACAGATACATGTACCCAGCAGTGACAGAAGTTTTTAATTGGATAGAGTAAGACAAAGCCAATCAGTAACAATCTGCTACAGCAAGTACTGGCCTAATTTGCTAAAATATGTAGTACATATATTTACAGAGGATAGATATTCACACAGAGAAACCCTGACAAGGTAATATCATTACGCAAGAACAGGAATGCTTGGAAAACTAGAGAGCTAACCCAGGAAGTTATTCTTTAAGTAAATACCCAGAAATTAAGGAGTCCATTTTTGTTGGCAAATTATAAGCTATGTGCAATATGTTAAATTGGAAGACATGCATCAAAACAACAGTCATAACTGCTCTTGTATTTGGGATAGATTGCAAAGAATTAACATTTCCTTTATTGGTCCTTTGTCTCTTCTAAAAAAATTAAATTGTGGTTGAACAGTAGCAGCTACAAACTACTACGTTTACGGTTCTTTATCTTCCTACACAGTGAAGAAAAGAAGGTAATGCGTTGAATCTTTTGACCATATTACTCCAAACCTCTGATTAATGTAATTGTTTCAAGTGTTCTTAAAAAAAAAAAAAAAAAAAAAAAGATTGTGAATATTCAAGTGCAGTCAAACAATTTGATTACCATATCTCAGTAAAGAACAAAGAGACTACATCCTCATATAGATGAAAATAACTTATGCTAAGAAGTTTGTAATGTCATTTTTAAATGTTGATGAATATTGCAGTCACAACGAGTACTGTTACTACCCATTACTATATCAAAATCAGTGGGGCAGATTCTAGTTCGTTTCATCAGTGCACATCCGAGGTAAAAAGCAGTGAATTTATCCAAGGTTTCCACTAGTAACAGAGGACTAAACATGCCTCAAACTCTTCATGGAGGAAACTGTCTCAAAGTATGTTTACGCAGCGTTAGCACAATAGAACCTCTGAATACTACTGCAACTTGAACAAATAAGAATTTCTTGTCATTTGTTTTTATGAGCCATTGGAGTTTTAAATGCCCATTGTTTTGTGATGATTATTTCCACCTCCTCATACTCTAACCACATCTACAAAAATACACACAGTTCCCAATCTATTCACCATCCTCATATAAACTGTATTCAAGAATAAGCTTTTATTCATTGCCTTATCCTAAACTGCTTGCTCCCAAACTTTTACCACCTTTCTTGGGCAACTATCACAGCAAGCAATCTGCAGACTGAAAGATACAAGTTTTTGCAGCTACAAAGATTACCTTTTGTGACAATCCTTAAGTCAGAAAAAATGGATGCCTTTTAGAATATTTTTAAGTTATACGTGCACTGACAAAATCAAACCTGCTACTAGTAATAGCAGCACTGTTTCATCCACGATCTTAGCATGGGAGAAACAAACACATGATGCCATCCCACAGGTGGCAGTGTATAAATAAGAGGACAAACATTTACCTGCTTGAAGTCTAATGCCACATTATTAGAGCACTATTAGAGCACTGAGGTCTCTGAACTGCTGTGTCCTTATTTGCTCCATTTATGAAATCAATGTAAGAAGTAAAATAATTTATTACGCTTTTTTTGTCCTTCCTCAGCAAAGCATACCCTTGGGAGATTAACACTTCCACATTAGGAGTGCTGAGGCCTATGTGACCAAGAACACCTGCGTGGCTAACAAACTAAAGCCTGAGTTACAATTATTTTCTGTTTATTGATTGCTG